GGGGGGAAGGGTTCCCCTGAAGTTGTCTATTACTTGTAATACTTTCAGGGGTATTTGAATATTGTTATGCATCTGAAGTGTAGTGCTCAATCTACTGTTGAATGGCAATTGAAAGATACAGCAAATTTACTGTATGTTAAACTGCCTATATATGAGCAGAGCCTCTGTTGCAACATATGAGGAAGGACTGCAAAGAATCAAAGTAATTTCACAACTCTGTTCACATTGAGTGAGACCTGACCCTCTTAATACCCTACTTCTGAAAATCTTATTCAGTAAGTTCTTGAGAAAATCATAACTCTGTCATTTCTAATTTATTATTGTAGTAGAATGAGAAAAAACTGTGATCTCTAGTACTGAGCTTGTTGCATGCAGCGCGCATTCATCAGGAGCTGCACCAGCATGCTGGAGCTACCGTTTGTTAGGAGAGGGCTTGTGTACACGGTGCACAAAATGTCTGTCTTAACCCTCCACCTGTATTAAAACATTAAAGTCTTTCAGACTCCTTCCAGTGTAAAATTTTTTCGGTTGTTATTATGGGTAATATAAGAAAAGGTAGGTTCAGATTTCCTGTCCTCTTCAATACCATTTTCTTATAATTAACCCATAATTTGCAGTGACCCCACTGTAACCTTTTTATTAGTCATGATACTGTTAATTATCCATTTAACTGAGAGGAGGTGAAAATGATCTGAGAAAAAAGAAGAGAGGACAGACTTCTAAAGAGAATATTCATTTGGGGAATTTATTCCATTTGATCATAGGCTAGTAATTATTTCTGTTCGCCTGCGAAGTTGGATCTTTCAAATATTTTGCTGTGTTGTGGATTATCTTCTAGGTCTTTCCAGGACAGGTCTAGCTCTGTAACTTTTTCTCCTGTTTGATTTCTAAAGTTCTCAGGAAACTGCCATTAATGCCTGTGGTATGCACAGTTTTCACTTCCCTCAATAACCTGTATTTCTGCAGCTATTTACTGGACTTTGGGAGCGGTAAGTTTGCCCCTAATGGCAACACTGGTGAACAGGCTGCTTACTTTCCAAGTTATTCAGATTTTAGTTTTACGATATTAATGGGAAGGAAAGGTTATTTTTGTGTCTAACAGCTCCACAAAAATCCCTAAAATCTTGTTCAGAGCAGCTTCTCTTTTGTTACAGTAATCTTATCAAATCGAACTAGATAATCTTTTTGCCCAAATCAGCCATCGTTGCTTCAGATAATGCAGGAACTAAAAGCCTCTTTAGGCTGCTTAATAGTGCAGAACATGGAGGGTCTTTTCATTAGGGAGGTGACTTACTGAACTTGCATTGTAGCTTCTTGTAAGCTTCTGTACCTGGGAGGAGTTTTATTCGTCTCAAGAGGATTGTGCTTGTAAAAAGCTTTTTAAAAAATAAATAAGTAAAAAAATAAACACCTCTCCAAGAGAGAGTAATAGGGATGTCTTCGAAATTTGAGTCCTACCACACAGTAGATTACAGAATGGATGTCTGACTGTAGTGTTACTTCCTGAAAGTAAGACCTTTGACTTTTAAAGGATAGAGCAGATATAATGACAAAACATTTAATGATGTGTTTAGTAGACTGTTGAAGACATATTTAATACTCTCTGTAGTGGTTGGAAGTTTCTGAAGAAGAAACAGAGCTTTATGTAAATGTGGAACAGCTCCTGATGCATGAGAAACTAATTTAAACAGTTTGGAAATTATAATTCTTCTCTGTCAAAAAGTTAATGCGAACAGAAATAAATCACTTTGCATCGTATTCATCAACCACCGCCAAATGGGCGCTCTGGTTTGGTCTAATTATTTGGTATGGACATTTGCAGATGTGACTGACAGTTCTGATAATACTAATGAGACGAGGGCTTGCGGAGTGTTAGTCTAGACTGACTTACCAAGTATACACCAAAACAACAGCCACGTCAGTGGGTTAGGAGAAAAGAAGAAAGTGCTGAATTTAAGTACAAGAAAGAAAAAGCAAAGACTGAAAACCACCATGAACTAAAAGAAATTATGTATTATGTCTTATTCGATGCTGTCTGTATAAAGGCTACTTAGGACACTGAACTGGATTTAAATTAAACCTTTCTATATTATTTTACATAGGCACAGTTTGGTTTAAAAACAGTACAGATGTCTGGCTTCCTCACACAATGCATGGAGAACTGCTTAAACTAAAGAGCAGGAGACTTCTGCTGCTGCCACTGGCAGGAACAGTTCGTCTGCGTATCGATGCAAAGTCTGCCTCTTCACTTTGCTTAATAAATGCCAGGACAGAGCCTCGCCGTAATTCGGGTAAAGAGCGAATCTCAAAATAAGACTTCCACCTACTGGTGAGCGCTATCCTTAACCTCTGGCAGAGGAAGGGAACTGATCCTCTTGATTTCCCCTTCTCCCTCCACCAGCGACTCATCCCCATGGTCTTGTGCAAGGTTGCACTTGCTGGCCATGGGCTGAGGTGTCTGTGCTGGACCCCGTACGCAGAGTAGGAAAAGGGTGAAAGCAGAAGCAACTCAGCTCCGGATTCTGCCAGGGATCAGTAGCCTGGTGGCAGGCAGCTTGGCTCTGGGGCAACTGAAAACATCACTAGGGTTTAGCCATTTTTTTGTGTGCTCTCAGAGGCTTGGAGCAGCAGCACTTCTGAGAACCCCGCCTGGGTCCTTCCGTCCTGCCCACGCACGCGGCTGTAGAAAGCGATGCTGACCGTTGGCCTCCTGTCTCACAGGAGCGCTCGGTACTAACGGCGGGCTGCAAGGCAAACCAGGGTTGGGTGCAAGACGATATGCTACAGAGACACCGAACGTCGCCATAAAGTAATGCCCTGGTTTTGCCTCGTATCGGCTCCTCCTTTGGCCTCCATTTTTGTAGCAGTAGGGCAGCATTGTACTTCTTGGAAGGGAAGGGCCTCTCACAGCATGTTTAAAAGTAACACTGCTTGCCAAGGTGGACATGCACTGCACTTGTAGCTTCCGTAACCGAGGGTGAAAAGAACCTGAGAACAGGTTGCAGCTAAAGTTCCTAATGAAATTCAAAGAAACTTCAACATACACACCTGGGCTTAGTCCTCTTCCCCTTCTACAACTGAAAAGTTGGTGGTATGAAGCCATTTTGAACATAAATTAATTAATTACTGGCGTTCATATTAAATCTCAGTAAGCTTTTCCTTCCCCCACGCCTGTTCCGTGCTCCATGCCCGGCGTCTCTTTTCATTCAGATACACTGATAATGGTGACAAGCGACCTGGTTAAAGGAGGACAGCAGGCCAGAGCCCTGTGACCTTTTTCTGTGCAGTGCTCATTGGCCAGAGGACTGTTTCGGGGTAGCAGTGGGTACAGGACTATTACGCCCTTTTCTTTTTGCCATATATAGAATTGCGAGCTGAATAGAAAGTATTTCATTTTTATATTTTCCCTATTCCAGGATTCAGGGTGCTGCTCACCCCCGACCCATTATCATCCTGGCGCTGTGAAACAGATGTCCAGCGCATTGTGAACAATGGCAGGGAGAGGGACGTCTGGCTTAGCTTTCCTTTCGCAACCTTAGAATGACAACTGAAAAAAAAGACACCTCCTGCTCAAAATGCACACGCAACTTCCATTAGTCCCACAAAGCTGTCCTTCTATTTTATAAGAATTTCCCATTTGTTATTGTTATGAAAGAGCGGGAACATAGTAATTTAAATTAGCCCTTGCTTTCATTTTCAATGACAAAAAAAAAATAGAGGGGGGGGGAAGGCACTTGTTTCAATAAAAGAGCTTCTGAAATAGAAAAATTTACGGCTTTTATGCTGGAATAGAGCAGCAGACCTACGGAAAGAATAAGGTTCTGCATATCTGTTGTAATTGCACGGAAGAGGAGCTGCCAATAGCGTACACTACTTACAGAGTCATTTAAGGAACTTTGATAACTGTCCACCTAAATGCAATGTAATTCCCTCAGGAAACAAGAAAAGAGGTTTTATTGTGCTCTGTTTTTCCTTCTTTCAGTAGCTTCTGAAAGTTATGTATGCATGGGTATTTTCAGTTTAATCATATTTTATAATTTTTAACTATTACTTAAAACACAAATTCAGTGTAATCAGCCCATCTGTTAGCAATGGTTATAAAATTATGTTGAAGATTAAAAATCTGATGCAGTGTCAATATGTCCTAGCATAATTAAGCTTGTTTTATGATGAATGACTAGGATATGGCTTTTGTCTACTTGAGCAGCTTTAAAATGGTAAACCTTTTGTAGACTGACTTAATGTACAGACTGTGTATGAAACAAACAAAAAACCCCCAGTTACAAAACTCAGACCCTGTAGGCAGAGCTGCAGTGTCTTTGCAGGCCTTGGGAAATGCCAGCAGAGTAATTCCATGTCACAACCAAATTCACTGCATTTTTCAGTCCGTCAGACACTGTCTTGGATCTACCTTCCTCCCTGTAGAACGTCACCCACACAAGCATCAAAAATTCAAGTTCGCTGAACGCTTTGTTTAATTTAGAAAGGGGCAAGATGACCTGTGTGGGCACCGGTGGAAAAACCAGCACAGCACTCACGTAAATTGAGGATATGGCTAAAAGCACTCTGTTCTCCAGTACTTTCTAAGTAGTGCAACATAGCCTGATCTATTCCCAGCAAGAGTTAACATTTTAAGCATTTTAATTCTGGCATTACTGTGAAACAACTATATATAATCATCCCTATTGGAAAACCATTCTTCATGTGGACACATTTTTCCCCTTTAAAATGTGTCCTTGGGAGAATAAAAAAAAAAAAAAAAAAAAGCCCATTTTGCAAAAAATAAACTGTGTAAGCCCTTTATATAGTCTATGTGCTAAACTTCCCGCAGTCTTCCTCCCCTACAAACTCTGCCTGCAGATGA